AAATATGGCTGAATTTACAACTAGTTTCTTCTTTAAACAGTATACCTATTCAGAAGAATTTTATTATTCTTTATTCAAGAGAAAGTAATATTAATCCCGCTACTTAAAAAGATAAAAGAAACGACCATTCATTCATCAGTGCCAAGGAAATGAAAAGCCTTTAAAAGCAGACCCAGAAAAACCTGCACACTGTAATCGGCAAGCATTACCAGCAAGAGAAATTAAACTTCAACATGAAAAATGAAAGCTTTCTCAAGGTGAGTGATTCAGTAGGATTTTTTTTTTTGCTTATTTTCTAACTTTTCACGACATGCAAGTAATTGTTGTCATTTTTACAAGTTTAAGACCTAAAAGACAATCTCTCGATATAGCAATGAAAGAGCTCCCAACCAGGAACTATGGCCAGAATTTTCTCATTATGGAGAAAGTAGGAGGAGGATCCCATTGCACTTAAGTCGGTATACATTATCGACCTATAAAGGAAAATGTGGCTGTGTTCCAATAAAACTTTACAAATACAAGCAACGGGCCAGGTTTCTGGCAAGAGTGTCCCCAAACTCCTCATCTAGACAGTCCTATTTTTAAACCAGTATTAGACAATCTAAAATTGACAGACATGTAGACACAAAGTATACCCACAGGTAAATGGAGGCCCAGAAGCCTGAGAGAAAAAGGAAGAAAAGTCATCATGTCAAAAGAACCCACTCCCTAGACAAGTATTTTACCTACATCGCTCATTCCACAAACATTTGTTCACGGTAATAAAATTGTAAACCTGCCCCCTGGCCTCTAGGAATGGATGAACGTATGGTTAAGTACAGACAATAACACACCCCCCCACACACACACTTACTCTGTTTAGGTCAGTTACTGCCACATGATGGTAGAAATCAGCGTTACCATCTGCATATTACTTCCTGGTTTATCACGTGCACATACATATTGTCTTACTTAAGCCTCACAGCAACTTGCTGGGTATAGAAAGGACTCGGTTTTATTCTCATTTTACACAAAGCAGTACAGCTAGGGTTCCAACGCATTTCTGAATAACGTCCCCCTTAGCAAAGCTTTCAGCCAGGAGCATTTAACAGAGGTGGAGCCATTTAGAATGAGACTAGAAGAATAAAGAGGATTTTGTAGGTGAGGAGAGGATGGCATTGCAACAACATAAAATACCCCCAAGTCTGGAAGCAGGCAAAGGCCGTGTGTGTGAAGAGAGTGCAGCTGACTTCCCTAAGGCAGACAGGGACAAGAAGGCTATCACAGTGAGCTGAGGAAGGCGGAAAGCATTTAAATATCAGGCTGCCCACCTATTAGCCTACTGGAAATGAAAAACCAATGGTCTGGGAGCAAAAAAGGAAAAAAGAACATAAATGAAGCTTTTGCTATGTGGTTGGTACTTCTACAAAACAGTTAACCTGCTATTCAGAGAAGTGGTTGGGTGGTAAGAAGTCGCACTGCAATCTCAAAGACACACGGTTCAAATCGACCAGCTGCTCTGCAGGAGAAAGATGGGCAGTCTCCTCCTGTGTGAGTCACTGTCTCTGAAAACCTGCTGGAGGGCCAGCTGTGGGTCGGTTCCACCTACACGGCACACAACAGTCATGAGGAGTACGCTACAGGGAGATGAGACCTGAGGGAATCCGCTGTCGGCCTGGAAAGACAGGTCTCAGAGACAGGAAAGCAGCAGGGAGCTAGCACCAAGGTTTCAGCCTTAGGTAACAGGGAAGTCACAGCAACTCCTCTATGTGTCCAAGCAACAGTTCTCGGGAACCCTCCTCTCTCCTCCCTCCCCCCCCCTCACTTTCCCTTTCTCCCAACATATGCTTTCTCACACACATCCTCTTTTATGGAAACATCTGAAAGCCCTAGTAGCACTCCCCCCCCCCCCCCCCCCCCCCCCCAGGTTAAATCAACGTCTCAAGTTACCTTCATTTTAAGTTTTTCTACATTTTATCTCAAGACTTACCGAGTCTTCTGGAGGCCTCTGAATTTTCCCCCAATCCACAGAAGGTCCCTTTTCTTGCAAAAATCTGTGAAACAGCTTCCTAAATCCATCAAGGTCTTTTTTAGTATGCTATTAAAAAAAAGAAAAGTTGAAATTACTATTAAAACCAAGAGAATGCTTAATATTTGACAAAGACAGGTATAAACTGTACATCCACAATGTCTATAAATAAAATTCTTTACTATCAGTGCCAGGGCTGGAGACTCATTAACATTCCCATTTAAAATAACAACAACAATAACAACATTTAACATTTAAAAGGCAAGAAAAGCTAATGGAAACTACATTTAAATGAATAAAAAGCAAATATTAATAAGAAGCACCTCCATAAGGAGTTGGGTAGCTAACTCAAAAATCAATTGTCTCTGATGGTTCAGATCCACCCGTTGACTCCCCAGGAGTAAAATGGATCATTCCTTCATACTCAATTTACCTGAAACCTGACAGAGGGGCAGGTCAGCTACGAGTCTCTTCCAACTTGTCAACAATGAGTTTGGGGTTTTTAAGCTTGACCTCCCCCCAGTACTGTGTAATCTAAACACTGTTTGGTCAAGGAAATTCCAATGAAGTGCTCTACATCCATTCATCAAGATCATTTCCTATTTCTTTGACATTAAACTTAATCACAGGAAAAATACACTTCAAAACCATAAATACAAATTAAAGTTTGTGGAAAAGATAATGTCTGTAATTATAGGTACAAAACACCTCTCAAATCTGGGAAACAATTATGTTTTGTTACACAGCACGGTTGCATTTGCACTTGGGAAAAGGTATGCAGCCTACATGGCTGATTAATTTCTCTCAATTCCAATTAAACAAAGACATCCTTTTCTCTACCTGATATAACAAAACAGAGGGAAAAAAGATTAATCAAGTGTAACTCTCTTCTGATTCTTTTGAAGTAACTAAGGGGACTTGTCAGGGAGCTCTGATGGCCTAGTGGTAAGGAGCTGCACTGCCAAACCAAAGGCACAAGGTTCAAATCTACCAGCTGCTCCACAGGAGAAAGATGGGAAATCTCCTCTTATGCTATTTATAATCTCTGAAAACCTGCTGTGGGTTCAGCTATCAGTGGGTTCGGACTTTAGGGCTCACACAACAACAACAATAGTGTGAGGATTTGTTAGACTGCCAAAGAGGGGGAGGGTAAGACAATGTTTTTGCAACAGGCAAATGTTGGAAATCCGTAATTATTAAGCAATCCCAATTTGCTGTTACTATCTTCACATCTTGTGCTTTGTTCAGATTACATTATCATCATAATCATCATCTGCAACTAGTGGACAAGTAAACAGATGACAACAAAGCCCTGTAGAGTCCCTACCTCAAACTCATGCGATGGGGCTGTGGTGAGGATTTTCTCTAATTCTTTCTTCACAGATAACTCGAGTTCTTGCCGAATGACTTCTTGGAACTGAGAAGCACCATCCTGAGTCATTGCTTTGCTGAGATCTGAAAACAAAAAGCAAAATAGCCAATTGAAAAAAAGTGATTCAAATAGCAAGTTACCAATGATTCATTTCTAGCATTCCTGGAATTTTTTAAAAAGTCTCAACCGTAGCGTGTCTGTCATCTTCCCCCAGAACTCGGTTCACAATTGACTACTGGGCACATCCCTACATCCCCTTTACATAGGGAGCGCTTGTGACTAAGGGGTGATGGGTTATGCTGCCAACGCAAAGGTTCAACTCCACCAACTCTTCTGAGGGAGATAGATGGTCAATCTCCTCCCAAACTGTCTGCCTTTGAAAACCCGCCAGAGGGTCAGCTATGAGTCGGATCCAAGTCAAAGGTACCCAACGACAACAATAGGCAGACGAATCAGGCAGAAGTAAGAGGATTAATCTTCACCGGAGCAGACAGTCCCTGTCTATTAATATTTCTCATCAAAATTGTTGTTTTAAAATTTGCAATGTCATCTTGTGGGGCATGGTCCTCGGAACTGTACTCATTCTTAAGAGAATTTCAAGGGTTTGTCAAATTCACAGAAGCAAAACTCATTCTTCCTCCTCTCCAGGCCAATGGAAACTGGAAAGTCTCCTTTCCACATCAGACGGGGAGTCGCTGTATTTCCCGATTCCCCAGTAAGGAAGAACCCTCTGAGAGATACTGGCAATGTCAAGGTGTCTCTACCTCCCTGTATCAAAGGAGAAGGGCACAAGCTGACAGCCCTTTCCTATCCTCAGTTTCAGCCAAGACATTTCACTGTTTATCCCAGCTGGACAACACTGTCAAGATTTTGGTACAGCTGGGCATGTCTGTGACAGATGGGACTCATTAAAGGGGACAGAAATTACTGTTAAGACAAAAACCAGCAAAACAGAAAAACACAACAGGCCCGAGTACCTCATGAGGAAATGGCTAATACTAGCTTTTAAAAAAAATATATACTTTAATTTCTAGATATTAAGCATATTGTCTACAAATCATGAAATTAAGGTGCAAATGGGTGATTAGCCAGTCCCTCCTTCTATCCTCAGTACCCTAAATTAAATCTCATTTCCACAAATTTTTTTTTCTTGTAGTGTACCACTGAGTTAGATCCGACTGGCACAGGAGGAAATTGTCCATCCATCTCCAGCAGAGCATCTGGTAGAATCGAAACACACACCCTCAGGATTGCAGTGTAGTTTCTTGCCACTAAGACACCCGAGTTCCCTTCACAAATGTATTTTTTAAGCTTATGTTCAAATATTCTGTGTGAATACTAATGATCTCTGCCAACGCTGGTTAACTTAGCTGAATTGTATTTCAGTAAAACTAAAAACACTGTCCCTTGTATCTCCTTAAACACTATAAATTCTTTCATTCATAATCCAAACAAGGAGAAGAAACATGTATTTTATATACATACATATTTAAAACTAACATACTCAGTAGTCTTTCTAAGATACTTCTGAGAACACAAATAGTAAATTATGCAACTCCTGGAATAATTTCTTTATTCCATGTTGCCAGCACTCCCCACTAAAAAAAATGTTAGCAAATGAGATATTTAACAAGCCCTTTGAAAACTTTTTACACACACTTTCCACCATATTAAAATCTAAATGGGGGGGAGGAGATGGAAATCCAAAGAAATGTGCTAAAAGCACAATGATTCAAAGCTAAAGTAGCCAGTTTTGAACTGTGCTCTTTTTACGAGCACAAACCCCAATTACATTTATGGACGCCAGAGAACAAGCAGAATGACCCCACACTGTGGTTCACAGGTAAGTTCTCTGTGAGCTCAGGAACACCACATAAACTACACAGAGACATGTCTTCACAGATACACAGCAATTTGAGGACAATCTGTAAATAACCCACAACGACGGATGACTACATTAGCACAAGTGTGACAGGTAATTAAGGGCTACCACAGGAACATGCCGAAATAGCGTTAGCATGACATCATCCAAGCATGCCCAGTCACTTTGTATACTGAGCTGTAATTTAAAATTTGTCGCAGCTCACAGTCCCCATCCTGCTCCTTGGTCTACATCTGAGATACCATTCCCTCAATCTAAATCAATTTCCATGTTAATATTTATATTGAGGGGAAAAAATCTGAGGAGAGAAAAATCTAATAGCTATTCCTAAATTCAATTTGTAGTTTTGTGCTAGTGAGCTAGAAGCAACTCACGGCTGACCCTCCAGCGGGTTTTTCAGAGGCTGTAAATCGCCATCTTTCTCTCACGAAGCAGCTAGTAGATTAAAAAACCCTCCAAACTAACTAAACTCAATGCCCTCAAATCAGAATAAACTCACAGATAATACTCACAGAATAAACCTCCCACAGGTTTTTAGAGGTATAAAGTGCATGGTAGGAGACTCTCTTTCTCCTAAGAAGCAGCTACTAGATTTAAACTGTCTATCTTTGGGTTTCGCATTAGCACGATCAAGTGTTCTGGGATTCCCATTCTTCTCAGAGTCAGCCACAGTGTGTTATGATCCACGCCGTCAAATGCCTTTGCATAATCAATGAAACACAGATAGACATTCTTCTGGTATTCTCTGCTTTCAGCTAAGATCCATCTAACATCAGCAACAATATCCCTAGTACCACGACCCCTTCTAAACCCAGTCTGGACATCAGGCAGCTGCTGATGTACTGTTCCAGTCGTTTTTGGATAATCTTCAGTAGAATCTTGCTTGCATGTGAAATCAATGATACTGTTCTGTAGTTTCCACACTCAGTTGGGTCGCCAGGGCAACACTGCATGGTTCAAAATTGGGAAGGGTGTAAGCCAGGGTGTGTCCTGTCTCCATACCTTTTCAACCCGTATGCAGGGCAGATTATCTGAGAGGCGGGGCTCTATGAGGAGAGGCGTGGCTCTATGAGGAGAGGCGTGGCGTTAGGATTGGTGGACGATCTATCAACAATCTGCGTTATGCAGATGACAACCCTGCTCGCTGAAACTGAGGAGGACCTCATGCACTTACTGCAGAGGGTCAAGGATTGCAGCCTTCAAGATGGACTGAGGCTCAATGTCCAGAAGACAAAAATTCTCACCACTGGACCAATCGGTAGCATCAGGATGGATGGCGAAGAGATTGAGATTGTTCACAGCTTCAGTTTGCTCGGCTCCACAGTCAACACTCTTGGCACCAGTAGCCAGGAAATCAAAAAGCGTATTGTGATGGGAAAGTCTGCGGTTAGGGACCTCTCTAAAGTACTCAAGAGCAACGGTGTCTCTCTGGAGACTAAGGTGCGCCTGATACAGGCCATGGTAAATGCAATCACTTGTTATGCATCAGAGAGTTGGACAATGACTAAGGAGGCTAGAAGGAGAATTGACGCCTTTGAGCTGTGGTGCTAGAGAAGAGTACTGAATGTACCATAGACTACCAAGAAAACAAACAGATACATCTTAGAGGGTTAAACCAGGCTGCTCCTTGGAGGCAAGGATTCTGGGGCTTCGTCTGACATACTTTGGACATGTTGTAAGGAGAGACAGGTCTTTGGAGAGGGACATCATGCTGGGCAGAGTGGAGGGACAGCGCAGGAGGGGAAGACCCTCTATGAGGTGGATTGATTCAGTGACTGGGGTAATCGGGATGGGTGTGTCGGAGGCAATGAGACTGGCACAGGATAGAGCAAGGTTTAGGGCTGTTGTACATAGGGTCGCTATGAGTCGCAAATGACTCGACGGCACATAACAACAACAAAAACAAAATCTTTGGGTTGGTATTGCAATTCCCTACCCACTAGGCCACTAGAGCTCCCTTTCTCTATACTTAAAAAATCCATGAATTGTCACAGATCAATTAAAATAGACGAAGACTATAATGATTTTTTTTAAAATACATTGTTGTTATTGTCATACTCAAAACCATCTACAAAGGGAGCCTGGTGGCCTAGTGCCAAGAAGCTGCACTGCAATTCCAAAGATGTGTGGTTCGAATCCACCAGATGCTCTCTCTGCTGGAGAAGGAGGGACAATTTCCTCCTGTGCCAATCAGATCCGATTTGACCACACACACTACAAGAAAGAAAAAAAAAAAAAGAAAAAACAACCACCAAAAAACAAAAACATCTACAGACTTGTTGCTTTGTTGCCAAAATCTGATCCCTGGAAGCAAACAGTCACATTCCTGGAAAATAAAGTCATGGAAACAACAAACTTGTATTCTGGGCAAATGCCAAGATAAGAGCAAAACTAACTGTGACTGAGAAAGTTTAAAAATAACCACAGTGGCTGTCAGAGATTTGTTTAAGAGAAAAGGGGAGGGGGGGAAGGAACTTTAAAAGACTCCTCTGCAGAACATCGCCAGATCAATTTACGTGACTTAAAGTTAAAACACCCAGGAGCCCTCACTGTCCTCCCTAGTCTGGCCGAGAGATTCTAACACTTAATACAACATGAGCTTTTTGCCATGTAACCTTCAAAAGATTGAACTTAAAAGCCAGACAACAGAGTCAAACCCAAGTTGTAAAACCACTCACTCTCCTACAATTTATTCTTTCCATTTGCCCAATCCACCACCAAATGCACCCATCAAGTGATCTGTATTCATTCTGTCACCTTTATAAATAGGAAGAAGTGCTTATATAAAAGGATACACAGCAAGCCCGTCCCCTCCTCCACGGCTGTGCCAGAGATGTGTCTCCCTCCCCCCAGGGCAAAGTGATCAAGTTCTTGGTTTTGAAAAAAGGAGATTTTTAAGACTAAAAAACAAGGAAGGGTTTTAGCAAGGAAAATGGGTTCTCCAGGAAGAGACAGAACAAGACACCATTCTCCTCTGCAGTGACCTCTGCCTTCCTGACTTTCCTAAGAATGGTCTGGAAATTCTAGTAGGAGAAGTACAGACCCTAAGGTCTAAACGGTTTCTGGGACTGAACATTCTCAGGTTACACTTCTGGCAATGACAGCTGTGTTTCGAAGGGAAGGTCAACTGAAGAATCCCCTTAATAATGCAAGCTCTCTAACCTAAAACGTTTGTCTCTCCCCACTTCCTAGCAATAGA